TAAAGTCCCCCCCCCCCCCCTTTTTTTTTGGTCGACCAGTTTCCCCCAGTGTGTGTTTTTTTTTGTTTTTTTTTTTTTAAGGGTTTCATGGCCAAATAAAATTAGGAAACACTGATCTAGACCATTCCTGATAGGTGTTTTTTTTAATTTGCACTTATAAATCTCCAGGATACTTGGCTGGTTTGACCATTGATCTGGCCCAGTTCTTATGTTTTTTAATTTTTTCTTTAGGATTATGCACATGGTTATGTGCCATGCAGAGTTGAAGCCCTGGTTTCTGCCTTCTGTATTCCCTGTCTGCCTTTACAGTTTGTGGCTAATAGAACCCTTAAGTTGCTCTGCCACATCCAGAGTATTGAGCTTCTTTAGAAAGATCAGTGAATATACTTCAATTCACTTCAGTGGGCAATGATTCAATCTCCACTGCTGAGCACAGTGAACATCACTTATACTTGTGTAGAGTGCCAAATGAATGTCATAGGTCACTGTGATGCTTTGGTATTATTTTACACTGACTTTGCACATATGCTAATAACTGTACAAGGTGCCCAGGAGTGGAGAATTACCTACTTTGTGTATAATGAAAATACGTGCAGATAAAATGAGGCCATGGAAACATGGAGTTAAATAGCTGCACAGATGCATATTGTCTTATAGAAATACAGTATTTCATTCCCTGTTTGGGAAAGAAATCAAAGGGCTGTTTGAAGAAAGTTATTTTTAGATGACAGAAAAATAGTTCTATTTGTGTTTAAGCTTTTTCATTTTTCTGTCTCTGAAGTTGACAGTGAGTTACTGTACCTATTTACTATTTGTGGAATATTTCTGTTGGGTCATTTGTTATTGAAACAGTTACCCAAATGACTGACAATCGGCATGTACCAAAAATATGCAATTTTATATATGGAATATGTACAGGAAATTACGTTTATAAATAAATAAACAATAAATCCTGTAGTTATTGATTCATATTTACTGAACGTCACTTTCAGATCTCAGAATACTGAAAAAAGAAGATTTAGCATGAACCATTTTTCTACAGACTGAGGTTCTGCTCCTATTTAGACTTGTAATTAAATGGGCTATTTAACTGTCTATTTATAATGCCTACAACTTCCTGTTATGTCATTTTTATATTTAAAATAAATGATATGATTTGCTTTTAACAGTCTACTTTTAATATGAAAATAGTAGTTTTCCTTTTTATTTAATCCTTATGGCTGTGCCCAAGAAATTTTCTTTTTATTGTACTTTTTAATTTGCGTTTTGTAATTTGTGACTTTCAGCACAAGGTATCTCTTTCTAAGACATTATCTTGTGAGTGTTTGTACCTCTAGCTTTGTTATCTGTGGATAACATTTGTAAGGCCCTTATATTTGTTAAGTTACAAATAAAATTCTAGCTATCTCTCTATATATATTAATATATCAGCAGTATATATATTAATAAAACTAATTATATTCCACCTTAAAAAATTGCCATGAACACCTACCAGCTGAAGCACAAAATCTATTTCCATTCCCTGTGCAACTGGAGGAAAAAATAATTGACTAGCCCAGAAATAATTATTGTATGGGTTAACAGAATTTCAAGATTGTTAAACTTCACATGAGTTGTCAAAGGAATGCTTTTGGTAGTTTTGTAGATGGAGCAGAGCTAAACCCCTCCATTAAAGTTACCCTAGAGAGCCAAAGAGTAATTATTTTAGTTCCACCCAAGTAGTTGCCCATTGATGGCAGCGTAATCTATAACGTAAATTTGTTCTCTAGTATTTATTTGTATTACTCTTCCATTAAAAATTGTAATTAAATCACAAACATGCTGACCAGTTGTCAGCATTATTTCTGAGAAACTCCAGAGTTGCTGTGAAGATTAAGTTTATTTCTAAAGGAAAATTAAAAGGTAATTTCTTAGTAGGACAGAGTTTAGTCATCACTGACTCATCAGACACTGTGTAGACTTTCTTTGACACTGTTTAAAAATAACAGTGCCACGAAAAGTAATTTCAAAACAAGAAATGCTCCCTGATGTCACCAAAGTAATAAATATTAATCACTTGCTTTTTGTAGGAGTTCTCTGGAATCTATCCTCGTGTGATGCACTGAAAATGCCAATCATCCAGGATGCCCTTGCAGTGTTGACCAATGCAGTGATCATCCCTCACTCTGGTTGGGACAACTCACCCCTCCAGGATGATCACAAAATACAGCTCCATTCATCACAGGTGCTTCGCAATGCCACTGGGTGCCTAAGGTGAGTCAGCTTAATCCATGCTATTTTATCTTGAAGTTTCATTCCCAACACTCAATAAACTAATCTTGGTTTGCATTTCATTGTGGAAGATGAGTTTCCATTTGGTGGCCCTTAAATCTTGAAATAATTCTATATTCAAGTACTTCAAGCCATTTAAGAACAATCTGTACAGGGTTGGGGTTTTTTAATAGTTTTGACCAATCCCCTACACCAGAGCATGCTGAAGATGTTTTTCTACTACTTGTAAATTGTCCCATTCCCCAGTTGCTTAAATGGTGTCATTGGGTTTTCATTATCACTCCAACTTAATTAGTGTACAAAGTAACACAGACATTTACAGAAAGGAATGTTTGAGTCCCTTCTGGGTTTCAAATGCCAAATTTAATGTGACTGTATAAAACAGCTGGGATTTTTTATGCAAGAAAGAGTGATAAATAAAAGATGTATAGAAATAAACTAGCCTATTTAATATTATGCAAGTGAAATACATAAACTGTTCCATAACAGGTGTCTGCAACCCTGGAATATCTGTTGTTAATTTATCATGTGGATGGAGAGGAAAGGATAGCAGCAACTGCTTCTTCTCTGACAAATTTCTAGGAAGGGATTGAGTGAGAAATTCCTGTGTTTCTAGTCTTGTTTCTGGCACTAACATGTTTAAACACTTTGGAAAGGTTCCACAACCTCTGTGTATCAGTTTCTCCTTCTCTATAATTGAGATTATATTTATCTATTTCATGGGGTTATTATGAAGGTTAGTTAGTCAATATTTTTGAATAATTTGCAGGAAGAATGCTATATAAATGCTATGTATTTTTGGTATTATTGTAGGTGTAACGTCAGTGTAGCACTAAATATTGGTATATGGTTAGAGTTGCAATTAGATGGGGTGTTTTTGGAATCTGCTCTATTAATATCTATCATGAGCAATATTATTGATTGGTTGGTTTCTGGTGAGTTATCTCATCCTTGGAAATAACATCAGAAGTTCTGTGGAAAAATAATACAGTGTTTGCTTTACTAGCATTATGATGTTATGACAAGAACAATTGGTAATACTTCATAAATATCTGCTGATAATAAACTTAAAATCACAGCATATAATGGTTATGTGAAGTATATTTGAATGCCTTAAGGATGCTAGGTCTCTGCCTCTTCTGATTTTGAAAGGAGTTTGGTGATATTTCTTGGACTTGTGACATATGTTTCCAGGCATTATAGAATAGAATCTCATGGAAATGTGTGATTCCTACTATTGTGAAAAAAGTACCTATTCCCATGTTATCCCTGCTGTGTTATCTGGAAACAGTTGGGGCTCGCCTACACTGGCCCCTTTTCCGGAAGGGGCATGTAAATTTCACGAGTCGTCGTAGGGAAATCCGCAGGGGATTTAAATATCCCCCGCGGCATTTAAATAAAAATGTCCGCCGCTTTTTTCCGGCTTTTAAAAAAGCCGGAAAAGAGCGTCTACACTGGCCCCGATCCTCCAGAAAAAGTGCCCTTTTCCGGAGGGTCTTATTCCTACTATTCAAAGGGTCTTATTCCTACTATTCCTATTCAAAGTAGGAATAAGACCCTCCGGAAAAGGGCACTTTTTCTGGAGGATCGGGGCCAGTGTAGACGCTCTTTTCCGGCTTTTTTAAAAGCCGGAAAAAAGCGGCGGACATTTTTATTTAAATGCCGCGGGGGATATTTAAATCCCCCGCGGATTTCCCTACGACGACTCGTGAAATTTACATGCCCCTTCCGGAAAAGGGGCCAGTGTAGACGTAGCCTTGGATTGATTATGGGTATCAGTTGTGATGTATCTGCTTCCTGCTCTAGTAGCATCCTTGATGGTAGCTCTGCTCTTTGTTCCCTCTCTAAATTAACCTTGTCCTTGCCTCACTTTTTATCCGTTAGTGGAATGTGTAAGTGTACACAAACTCAGAGTTTGCTGTCACTATGTAAAACCTCCTCCTCAGTGGAAATGTACAGATATTAATCTAGAGGCACAGAAAATTCAGGGAGGATTAAATTGGTTTATGCTTCAGACCAGCAAGAACTTTCCCTTTTACCTTCCATAAATCACTGTTGCAAACCTGTCTTATTGAGGAGCATTAAGCATCAAGTAAAATAAAGGGGAGAAATGTCTCACTAAAATAAGATACGCAATCTGAGCTATGCAAATTGTGTATCTTATTTAGAAATAACTTATTCTGTAAGTTGACGCTATCTACACAGCACCAAATTTCGAATAACCTGCTATTCTGAAACATCCCTTACTCCTCGTGGAATGAGGTTTACAGAGACGTTGGTATAGCGAGCCTGTTATATTTCAAAATAATAGGCTTGCTTTTAAGATGTGGGATAGCTACTTTGGGCTACCTCTTGTAGCCCAAAATAGTGCTGCAGTGTAGATATAGCCTCAAGGTCCTCTGAACTACTTTTAGACTAACCGAAGTGTTGGAGCATAAGCTTTGATGGGCAAAGACCCACTTCGTCAGATGCATGATAGGGTTCCTTGCCGCTTTTGCAGATTCAGACTAACACGGCTACTCCTCTGATACTGAACTACTTTTGTGTCTTAGGTGATAGTGTCCACAAATAAAATCAGCAGCTGCCCGTAAGTTTATCTCCGAAAGGGCAGATCATTTCTTTGCATTCCATTAAGCTCTCTGTCTCTTAGAGGACCTGATGGCATATTGAATCCAATGCATGGTTTAACCAATATGTTATACTGAATATGTTATACTGAATTCAGCTCCCACTGAACTTTAAAGGCCCTTATTACTTCTTCCTATTTATGACTAGATGCATGTACCCTCTGGGGCACATTTGTAATGACCTGTGGGTTTCACAAAGAAAGACAGATAATATTTAAAGCAAGATGATATAATAGCTTCCTGATTGCGACTGTTTATGCATATCCATTTGGTCTAAAATGTGTATCGTTATAGAAAGCACATTGTCATTGTCTTTGAAACTTTCAGTTTCTTACTAGAGAGAAGACTTCCTCTTCTACCCAATCACTTTCAGTTTTGCTTTCTTTCCTTAACTAAGATTCCTTTAAATTGCTTGTGAGAGAGTAATATTGGCAGCTAGTACCTGTAGATATGAAGCAAATAGGATTTTCACTGTTTTCTGTATTTGTTTTCTTCTTTAAAATGTGTTTTTGAATACTTTCAAATGTAGAATCCTGGTGGACCTTTGAGCACTAGCAGGCTGAGGATATGAAAAGTTTAATGCTTTTTAGTGCTATAGCTTCAAAGTTTACTTGCTTATATGATATTTTTGCATTTGAGAGATTTAAATAGAGAGAGATATGAGAGAAGATATAGTACAAATTTCTGCCTAGACATTATGGTGATGGTTACCCTACAATGACTGGTAGTAGTTATCGCTAGATCTTTCCTTTATATTTCAAGGTTGTATGAGGTTAAACTAGCAGCCCTCCCTCACAGGTGTAGCCCAGATGAAGCTAATATATCTGTTCATATGAATGAAGGCTGCAGAAACGAGCCCTAACTTTGTGTTGCTGTGTTTTATGTCTTGCTGCATGGCAAGTTGTTTATTAAATGAACTGATGTATGTTTCTGTGACATGAAAAAAAGCCAGTAATTATATTAACCACCCCAGTGCTATTAGTTTCATAGGTATTTTGAAATTATTTAGAACATTAAAAGCTGGAAGTACAAAATTGCACCCATTATTCCTCAATCCAATCCAATATAAATATTTATCATTCATAACATTTTGAGATACCTCATATGACATATTACATGATAACTCCCAATTAACTTATCTCCCAGTGCAGTGCCAGAAACTTAGCACATTCAACTGTGGGAAATATTGCCACTTACAGTTCATGTGTGTATTGGCTAAGACTGGGGATTTCTGTTCATATGTTTTTAAAAACCCAAATCTTTTTTTTTCTTCCCATTTCTGGTTCATTGGAATCCATCATAGTGAAGATGAACATCAAAAAATGAAAACTTTTGAATTTTATTAACTTTTAGATGTTGTGTATGGCTCCCAATGAGTCATTTGAACTGTAAAACCCTACTATGTGATTTTAATATGTCACATTTTCATATATGTAACTATCAAGGTTATTTATTTACAAAGTCAAAACAAATCTAAAAATATCAGTCTTGAAAAAAAAATCACATTTATCCAGAGACCACAACATTTTTCAGTTTAAGTTTTGAGAAAAGACTTTTAGTGCCAATGTTCTTTCACATAAAACTTGTCAACTTTCCATGACTGAAAACAAAGCTAACAATTTCATATGGTTGTGCTGCAAGACTTTTTAACAGCTCTAATTAATAGCATGGGTTATACATTGTAGATGCTTATTTTTCTGTATACTTTTCCTTCCTTTATGTTCTATCAGGCATAGAGATTTCGTTCCTGAAATTTTACAATGTGTTAATAGGGTTGCCAGATGGTTTCAACAAAATTACCAGACAAACTTGACATTACATCACAATCTACATTACATCTTATTTAGAAAATACTGGACATTTATATTTTCTCAATTTGTTTCCCGGTCAGAAAGGTCAAATACTAGACTGTCTGGTTCAAAACTGGACACCTGGTAACCCTAGGTGTTAAAACTTAACTCCCAGTGTAGAACAGGACTTAGTTAAGGACTTAAAAGTTAGAGGATCATAGTTCAGATATTCAACATACACAAGTCCCTACATAATCTGTTATGTCGAATTGGTCTCAAAAATGTTTCATAATCTGAGCTTCAATTAAAAAAATCTCTAGCCTGCACATTAGTAAAAAAAGTGAGCTGAAAATAAACTGATCCAGTGGTCTGTAGCTGGATTTACAGATGGCCTAAAGAAATAGCTCTCAGTGAGTTCTTAACTGTACACTATAATGGTAAATGTCCATATTGCAAACTGTTTCACTGGAGGTGATTGCAGTTGAAACTTTTAACTAATGTGACTTTCCCAAATAATAATAATCTTCCTCCCGAGTCAGAAGCGCCAATGGCTTTCTACCTTCAA